TGTGGCATAAAAATTGCAGTCCACAACCTTTAGCTGTTAAGCATCATATTTCCATTACGAGAGCAATATTATTATTTCTTCACCTTCCCCAGAACCTAACCTCCTCTTTAATGCATGCCAGCTTGGCTAATGTTGACTTGGTATGAAACTACAGTACCTTGTTACCTTGGCAATCCATGCCCTTGCAGCAAGATCCTGTGCTACTCTCATCTTGGTCTTTAAAAAAAAGTACAAAGTGTAATGATTATTATGATTTAATTTAACTGAAAATTATCAGCAACACTATTAAAGTTGAAAAACTGAATCAGAGGTTAAATTGTCAAGGTTTCGTCCTGTCATCCTTTCAAAGGAAGAAGAGCCCTGAAAAGGGTCAGTGAGCTGTACTAAGTAAGAGCCCTTTGGTTCTTGATGATTTGGTTATCTCGCTCTGATTGTCTTTAGGAGAATGACGAAACATTGCCCAGTGGAGGCTGTGTATTTCCTTATTCCTTTCTTTGCCTTATTCCTTTCTTTGCCTTATTTCTTTCTTTGCCTTATTCTTTTCTTTGCCTTATTCCTTTCTTTGCCTCATTCTTTTCTTTGCCTTATTCTTTTCTTTGCCTTATTCTTTTCTTTGCCTTGTTCTTTTCTTTGCCTTATTCTTTTCTTTGCCTTATTCCTTTCTTTGCCTTGTTCTTTTCTTTGCCTTATTCTTTTCTTTGCCGTATTCTTTTCTTTGCCTTATTCTTTTCTTTGCCTTATTCTTTTCTTTGCCTTATTCCTTTCTTTACCTCATTCCTTTCTTTGCCTTATTCCTTTCTTTGCCTTGTTCTTTTCTTTGCCTTGTTCTTTTCTTTGCCTTATTCCTTTCTTTGCCTCATTCTTTTCTTTGCCTTATTCTTTTCTTTGCCTTATTCTTTTCTTTGCCTTGTTCTTTTCTTTGCCTTATTCTTTTCTTTGCCTTATTCCTTTCTTTGCCTTGTTCTTTTCTTTGCCTTATTCTTTTCTTTGCCGTATTCTTTTCTTTGCCTTATTCTTTTCTTTGCCTTATTCTTTTCTTTGCCTTATTCCTTTCTTTACCTCATTCCTTTCTTTGCCTTATTCCTTTCTTTGCCTTGTTCTTTTCTTTGCCTTGTTCTTTTCTTTGCCTTATTCTTTTCTTTGCCTTATTCTTTTCTTTGCCTTATTCCTTTCTTTGCCTTATTGCTTTCTTTGCCTTATTCTTTTCTTTGCTTTATTCTTTTCTTTGCCTTATTCTTTTCTTTGCCTTATTCTTTTCTTTGTTTATTCTTTTCTTTGCCTTATTATTTTCTTGCCTTATTCTTTTCTTTGCCTTATTCTTTTCTTTGCCTTATTCTTTTCTTTGCCTTATTCCTTTCTTTACCTTATTCCTTTCTTTGCCTTGTTCCTTTCGTTGCCTTATTCCTTTCTTTGCCTAATGACCAAATGCTAAGTGCATCCAGCAATAATAATAATACATCCAGTTCCAATCTAGATATATCCAGTTCAAATCTAGATATATTCAGTTCCAATCTACATATATCCAGTTCCAATCTACCGGTAGATATTTCAACCCATTTTTCATAACCTTGATTACTATTCACATTGGCATTCACTGATTTTATGGAAAAGTAGTTTCAAGTAATATTAAGATTTTATTGTGCACTTTGTTATCATAATAATCTTTTGTCAAATGCTATGTACTCAAATCATATTTGGAGAAGCTGATTCAAAGATGGAAAGAGGAAATCTCTTTGTAAGTACATGTACTAGCAAAGCTTTATTACAGCTTAATCCATGGATCCATTAGGGTTGAGCAAACTGAGTGCCTCCAGAAATCCCTTCTATTAAAATGGCTTTTAGATGGTGCTTTGAATAAAGCTAACATCCAAATTTGTCATTCAATATCAAATCAAGCTACATCTCTGCAAATGACATTAGGTCTCCACTAGACAAAGTATCAGTCTACATGTATCTCTGGTTTACTACATGGATACCAATACTGTCTGACCTCATTTATCTGGCCATCAGTTATATGAATCCCTCTTTCAACCAGAAATGTGTAGAGTAGTACATGCATACTGGTCTTCATTCATTTCCACAAGAAAATATTACACAAAATTTGCTCAAGGTAAATTCCAAGTGTTATGGAATGACATTTTATTTTTTTAATGAAGAATGTCATAGACACTATAATAAAAATGTGCAATTAATGATATTTTAACTTATATAATGTACTTTTACAATATTTAGGCTTCCCGGCAGTGATTCAACAAATTTTATGAAATATTTAATTTGATATAGGTTTGTTACAGAATGATATAGAATGTCATTTGTTGGTTATTCTGTCACAAAGATTTCTAATATCCAATAATTTATAGATTCCATGAATGGTTCAAAAGAAACTCAACTCTTGTGAAAGTTCCTCAAATTAGTTTATAACTTTATACATGTTTATGGTTTGATTAATTTGTAGCTGTTTTATTAAATTGTTTATAGTATTCAATCCTTCAGTTTACTCTTTTTTTCTCCGTCATAAAAATACATTATTGACATTGTTGTATAAAATGTAAGTTAGGCAGATGGGGACTTATATGATTAAAGAAATCAGGAAACTAAAAAAAAAAAACCAAAACCCCAAAACCAACCGAGAGGTGTAGCATGAAACCAATTCATAACCTTCATAATTATCCACTTTCAAAATATTTTTAAAAAGTACATGAAAATCATTGTCTGTAGCAAGAACGGGGACTAGATTATTGTCATCTGCAGAGAAGACAAAATGGTAAAGAATGATGGAAATTTAAATCAACACAAATCAGAAACACAAGAGGCCCCTGTATGGAGCAAAAAACACACACACAAAAAAACAAACATAGGAAAAACAAATGCAGGAAACCTGAAATTATATGATTTAGTAGTTAAGGAATATTAAGAAAATAAAGTAAAAACCCTGCCAATGAAAACCAGGTCAGACAGTCTGCATGCACCCTAATCTATGCAAGTGTGAACAGAAGTTAAATGACTTGTCAACTTGTGAGTTGCTGTAATGTTTATTGAGAGAGCTAGTGTATACAAAACAACAACTTGAAATGTCTCTTTATAGAGGTGATGTTTGAAGCTCATATTTTTGATATAGTATTATGACAGGAATACCTTAACAAACAGAGATGTATATTTTCAGTGATTGGTAACTCCTTAGTAGATAGTAATATTAATTGTATCCTCCAAGTGACTCAATAGATCTGAGTTACACCAGTTGTGTCATAGTATAGTTTTTGTTGTAATGCATCACTAATATTTGACATTAAAATTGTATTCAATAGACTGTGCCTTTCATGTGGGTACGAGATGCTAAGCTTATATATGTAGGTCAACACGTACATGACATACCATGCATAGATCTGTATGTTTTCATTCCATCTATGAACGTTATTTGCATCCTCCATAGAATTCTTACCTACTTTTGGTCTTGGAATATGAAGTTATGTTGATGAATTCGGCTTGAACATAATCTTAGAACTTTTGTGTAAGCTTAGGATAAAACTCTTAGCCAGCAAAATTGTTAGAATATGTATTTTGACTAAGAATATTCTCTTAAGCCAAGAGATCTTTAGATTTGAAAAGTGTGTAATATCATTATAGAATACGGGCCTGTTTAAAAATGAGTATTTTACTCTTTGAATTAAATATGAGGTGTAATTCAAGCTTTGAATGCCACTTGAGCCGATGAATCTGAGAGTTGTTCATTCATAATTCATGATAATCTGATAGTTTTCACATAGAGAGAAAGGAAATGTCAAGAGGCTCTTGAGTGGAGTTCTGAAGGGATGGTTATCATACAGATCTAGATCTACATACATACACCATCTCTGCTCTGAAGGGATGGTTATCATACAGATCTACATACATACACCATCTCTGCTCTGAAGGGATGGTTATCATACAGAATACAGATCTACATACATACACCATCTCTGCTCTGAAGGGATGGTTATCATACAGATCTACATACACCATCTCTGCTTTGATCACTGCATCTACTTGATTGACCCATCATCAGAGCTCTCTCTCGGTATGAGCCGTAACGTTTTTTACCACATTTTAAAGAGATGGTTGGTGATGCTATGGTTGGTGATTCACGTCTTGCAACTTACATATAAAACAAGGAAGAAAGAATCAAAGATAGATAAATTTGTCCTGAAATGGCATGTTATACAATCTTCTATACCAGGAGATTCATTGCATATATAGCTAGCTAACTGGCATTTTATCAGAGATTTTATCTATGCTCAGTATAAAGTGCTTTACAGATGGTAGGAAGCAATGCTATGATTGGAACGTAGCATCCTTGTGCAGAAAGCTGACTTTGAAAGAAGATTTCAAAAGTAGTAGAGTGTGTGAAAAAAGAATAGTTTGGCAAATATCTATGGAACGTTAGCTTTCATGCATGCGTAAAGATAAAGGTTGGCTCAACAAGCTTTGTTTCTGTTTCACTATTGGAGAGGAGTTTCACGATAAAATATAATGTACAAAACAGGAATATGCTCAGCTAATTGTGTTTGGAATCAATTTCTCTTGCCATCATCTAATCGACATTGCCAAAGACATGTTTCCCTGTGATACATGTAATTCAATCAATTCTTTGATGTGTTGGTCTCTCATTCTGAATAATATGAATGATCATATTCCAAAACTATAAACCTTTACCACTCCAAAAGAGCACTGGGAAGAATATTGGAAATTGCCTCATGAAAATCTCACTGGTGCTAGCTCAAGTTCACAAAACAATATTGATTTGCTTTTACTCTTCTGATGATTAGATCAAATCAGTTGAAATGAAGAAGAAAGAAAAATAATAAAATAGAACAGAAAAGAAAATGATTTGTTGCTAAATAATAGTGTTATAGTTTAAAATAAACCATGTCATAAACAAATGTTTTATAAATAATTGGTATATTGGTGCTTTTAATTTATCATAAGGGAAAGTTCTTATGAAAGTAGAAGGTTCCAGACTAAGAGGGAAATCAAGAACTAAATGAGAGGGGTACGAAGACATTGAGTTAAATGACACTGCAAAAATGTACAAGGATGGCAGAGTACATAGATGTGTGGATAAAAATGTTGCAGTCAACCTTTGAGTTGGGACACCTTCATAGATAAATATTTAACACTTTGTTGTTCTTTGTTATTGTTACAGGCTGAAGTAAAGACTATTGATGGTGGCAAGGATCCTCCTAGAGTGATACATACAGAGCAACCATCATTAGCACTTCATAGACAACTTGATCAGCATAGCACAACCAAACAAAAAGCTGAACTCTCTGCTAAACATAAAACATTGCCTCTGGACAGGAGGCGGAATAAAGTGGGTGTGGTCAAGGGTGTGGCTCAAGGCGTGGCCCAAGGCGGGGCCCAAGGGATGAACAAAGAGCCTGTAGATCAAGAAGTGTCTAATCAGATAGGTGTTAACAGTGCTCATAAAGCTGCCTTTGTTCATCAAGCACCTAATATAGTTGCCAGCAACTCATCAAAATCGAAGCATTATCGCAGCAAACTAGTACGTGTTACACCGACTGGGAATGCAACGTTAGTCCTGGAGTATATGTCCAAGTGCCCCATTGAAAGTAAAGATGCTATATCAGCACTGAGTCGGGCTCGAAGCAAGGAATGTAAAAAGGATATTACAGACACAGTGTGTGCCACATCTGAGAGAAACTTATATCCTCTGTCTTTGCCTCGCTTTTGTCCTTTTACAGGTATGTTATTGCACAGCCTCTAACCAAGGCATCCCCCCTTTCAAACAGCTGTACATGTACAGTATGTATGTATGTTCACTAGGAATCTGTTTAAGATTAGGCTTTCCAGTAGTTTGGGTCATAAATTGATTCACATTAGCTTTAGTCAAATAGATATGTAAAGAAATAATTATACAATAAATGGAATTGCAGAAAATCTCAGAAAGCACTGCATACCGGTACATCTTTTTCAGAGTTTAAAAAGTGATTTTATGATAAATTGAAAATATTGGATCTTTGGTATGAACTTTCATTCAACAAATATGAGAAACGGCATACCGGTATGTAATTCTAAACTCGTTTTTGGAAGAGTCTAGAAACAGTCTAGAAACTGTATAGATTAAAGATAAACTTGAGTTCTGGTAAAAAAAGAAAATGAATTCTCACAGAATCTAACGAAACTTACACTGAATGTTCAAGATTACAAATAAATGTCATGTGCCAAACAATTTTGGAAGAAAATGTATACTGGCTGAGTAATGAGCATAGAAAGATAATGAAATCAGGGTAGTACTAGCCTCGACACATTTTGTGTTGTCCCATATACATCTTTCCGTGTAAGTGATTGTTACTTTACCAAGACTCTGCCAAATTTATGATGAGTTTGATGACTCCAGAACCTTGCATTACACACCATTACTTACATGCTATATGATCAACTTTTCTGACCCATTCCACACCTTTTCTTTCACAATGCAATTGCATTACCAGTACTAAAGTTTATCTTTAACCAATGAGTTTAGAGATTCATAGTTCATCAGTGTATTTCCAATATTCAATTATGGATTACTTTCATGAGAGTAAATGAACATGTTTGTGCATTCACTGTCCTTCATCACATGATGGTTATATTTTACTATGCTTGTTGTTGTTTATGTTGCAGGGAAGTATGCTAATGAGATAGAGAACGATGGTAAGTTCATGTCAATGGATCAGCCGAGAGCTAGGATAGCCTATGTATTGGTGGTCCATGGTCGTGCACTCAGACAAGTGAGAAGGCTTATCAGACTCCTCTACCATCGAGATCATTTCTTCTACATCCATGTTGATCAGGTTAGTCTCATAATCAGGGTCTGGGGGAAGGGGGGGGGGGGTGGGGGGCGGGAGGGGCGGTGGGGGAGGGGGCTTATCAGGCTCCTCTACCATCGAGATCATTTCTTCTACATCCATATTGATCAGGTTAGTCTCATAGTCAGGGTCTGGGGGGGGGGGGGGGTAGGGGGACGGGAGGGGCGGTGGGGGAGGGGGCTTGTCAGACTCCTCTACTATCGAGATCATTTCTTCTACATCCATGTTGATCAGGTTAGTCTCATAGTCAGGGTCTGGGGTGGTGGGGATGGGGGAGGGGGCTTATCAGACTCCTCTACTATCGAGATCATTTCTTCTACATCCATGTTGATCAGGTTAGTCTCATAGTCAGGGTCTGGGGGGGGGGGTAGGGGAACGGGAGGGGCGGTGGGGGAGGGGGCTTGTCAGACTCCTCTACTATCGAGATCATTTCTTCTACATCCATGTTGATCAGGTTAGTCTCATAGTCAGGGTCTGGGGTGGTGGGGATGGGGGAGGGGGCTTATCAGACTCCTCTACTATCGAGATCATTTCTTCTACATCCATGTTGATCAGGTTAGTCTCATAGTCAGGGTCTGGGGGAAGGGAGGGGGGCGGGTGGGGGACGGGAGGGGCGGTGGGGAGGGGGCTTATCGGGCTCCTCTACTATCAAGATCATTTCTTCTATATCCATGTTGATCAGGTAGTCTCATAGTCAGGGTCTGGGGGGGGGGGGGGGGGTGGGGGAGGGGGCTTATCAGACTCCTCTACTATCGAGATCATTTCTTCTACATCCATGTTGATCAGGTTAGTCTCATAGTCAGGGTCTGGGGGAAGGGAGAGGGGGGGAGGGGTAGGGGAACGGGAGGGGCGGTGGGGGAGGGGGCTTATCAGACTCCTCTACTATCGAGATCATTTCTTCTACATCCATGTTGATCAGGTTAGTCTCATAGTCAGGGTCTGGAGGGGGTGGGGGGTGGGGGACGGGAGGGGCAGTGGGGGAGGGGGCTTATCAGGCTCCTCTCCCATCGAGATCATTTCTTCTACATCCATGTTGATCAGGTTAGTCTCATAGTCAGGGTCTGGGGGGGGGGGGGGGGGGGGGTAGTCATTAGCTCTACTATTTCTAATTAAATGTCAGCTGTTTGAAGATTTATCTGTAGACTCAGATTTAAAAGGGGATATTATGGTATTATTCAAGCTTGTTGAAAGAAAAAAAATGTAAGTTCAAGTTAGATCAATCATATCTCTGGCAATGACTGGCATGTTACATTATTTTTTATTATTAGATTTATTATCCTGTTATATGTAAGCCTGTTTATTTTCCTTTGCAGTGGCAGTGCATTTTTTTTTGCTGGGGGGGGGGGGATATTATAAAGCTGAATATTGGGATAGGCTGATTTCAAGTCAAATCTCAAGTAATAAACACAGTCGTTTTCACTGGCTGCTAGCGGAAAATGAACTTTCTAGAAATGTGAATTTTTCTTTGAAATTCAGATACCGCCCGCCAAATGACTTTTTGGTTTCCTTCCTTCAAATTGCTTTTAATCACTTTTAATCACTTAATGAAAGAGGAGGATCTAAGCTTGACAAATATATGTCATTCATTAATTATAATTGTGATTAAGTTATGATAAAACATTGATAATTCTCGGTTTCACTTTTTTCTGGGTCGCACTGTATATACATGTATACATATCCATGTAGGGTAGGCCTTTCATTTCATTATATAGATGTAGTTACATATATTAAAGCACAACATACACTGCTACACAAATTCTAATTGATACATGTACATAATGAAGTGTCGGTGGGGCATCATGGTTTAATAGAGAGGAAAGGTTGAGGAAGAATGATCTTTTTACCAGATACATGTTAGTATAGCTCTATAGCTGGGTTGGTTGCAATCAGCACTACGGTAGTCATTTACAGCCGGTAAACAAGTGTGTCGTTATTGGCTTGTGTATACTTGACTGTATTACAGAAGTCCTATACCCTTCTTTGGACCTTCATAATCACTATTAGTCCAGTACTAAATAGAAATACATACATATTGATATTTATTTAGCGCCATTACATGTAAATGAGGTTAACTTTGTCAAAGTTGATCAGTACGTGTTTTGCTTCGGGTTTCATATAATTGTTTTCTTGTATTTTTTTCAGCGTTCTGATTACCTTCATCGTGAGATAAGTGCGATCTCAGAGAGATTTAGCAATATCCGTGTGACTCCATGGCGCTATGCAACTATCTGGGGTGGAGCAAGTCTTCTTCAGGTTTATCTTAGAGCTATAGACGATCTCATTCAAATGAAAGATGTCAAATGGGATTTCTTCATTAATCTCAGCGAGTCTGACTTTCCTATCAAGTAAGATATACATGTAACAAAACATAAGATTTATTTGAGGGGGTGACTGAATTTACAGCTGCTAGTCCTGGCTGTGTCAAACAGCTTAAGTACAGGGCCTACTGTTGTCTCATTGTGCAGACACTGACTGACAAGGGTTTGTGGCTGCAAACTATAGATATTAGGTTGAACTTCCCTTTGAAAGGTAAATGCTGTGATGACAGTAAGATAGATATAGGGCCCTGTAGAAATGGTGTATTTCCAAACAATATAATATAGCAAATAGTGGACACATAATTAAGAAATTCACCCAACTCTGCATTTGAGAGCAACACTTTTGCAGTTAACTTTATCTACCATACAACATTCAACCTTGATTCTCCGTAATTCTGTACTAAATGATGCTCAAACCTCTGTTGGAGACAAGGAATGTAGTACAAGAGGTATCATAGAAAACTCCCTTCATGTAGTGTGAACTGGAGGCTTTACAGAGTGCCCCCTCCCCCTCCACCCTGAACAGACCAGCATGCTTCCAATAAAGTGGGGCAAATTTCTCTGGTACCATTCGATTTGTTAATCTTTTTTAGAAGAAAATGAAACTTATTTCCTAAAATTTGTATTTTTATTTCTAGACATAGTTTCGTCTCCTTCCAAGTTGGGTTATATTGCTTTAACGTTTTTCAAATTATCTTTGTAACAATATTTTCTGGTAGTTTTTAACACTGTAATGACCATGTGACCTTTGACCTCTTCCACTCAAAATCTAATCAGTTCTCCCTTGCATGCTCTTACATACATCGTTGAAATGTGGTTCCAATTACTTTGATGCCTTTTAAGTTATCATGGTAACAAACTATTTTCTGGCATTTCAAAAACTCTTCTACACCGACCCTGTGACCTTTGACCTTTCTATTCAGACTTGTTCCTTTGAATTGTGCTCCTGCTGGGCTGCTGGGCTGCTGGGTATCTGGAAATCTTTCCTTGAATATCCTTCGGTTAGGGTCTCAGACAAGTCATGAGTTCTGATGTATGTCAGAACCATAATGGTTTATTTTCTGAACTGAGTCCCTGTCATTATGTTAACACACCTACTTGTACAATGTATTATGATAAGGACAACCTTATGCAACACCCCTCAGTAGCAATTGGAAATATATCCTTGCCTGATTAGGCATCATGAGCATCCATTCATGATTTGACATAATTACCCATGCTTGTGTATCATTGTTCACTCAAGGATGAATGGCTGATATTGTTGGATCATTACCTTGTGATAAGATTTGTAGTAGTGCAGTACTGTTTGTGGATTGAGAAAGTTTTTGAACCCCTACCTTGCATCACAAAATGCTCCCTAAAACATAACCTCTTTACCAAATTTGTCAATCGCGTTATCACTTTTCATGTGAAAAGATAAGATTTTAAGATTCTCTGACCTTTACCAGAACCAGTGAAGTGGACCCTTCATCATTGGAAGTATGCTAGTACTTTTTTGAGGGGGGGGGGGGGGGTGGGGGAGCACTCTGTATAAGGAGAGATAAAGAGGGGAGTGTATCAGAAAATGTCACTTTGTTTGCCTTGTTATGCCAGTAGCATGTATTTGTTCAGCTTTTGAAAGGATCAGTATAACATTTGATTATCTAGCATTGTGTTGTCATTGTTGATGTATATCATGGTTTAATATTGAGTTCTAGCTCTGAGGTTCTTTCAATAGATAGAGTGACAGATGCCCAAGGGCTTTGTCATAACTATATTAAAAATGTTTTTATAATTGGCTTTAACTTCTCTACACATGTCACATCTGGTTGTTCAGTGGGATTAGCGATGCGTGTGCTGTAGCCTTGTTTGTGTCCCCCATGCACCTATCCGTAAAATAGCATCAACATGTTATCTGCTGTTTGATAGATATGCATGTACATGTATATGATACCAATAGCAGGAGGTGAACATCATTGATACAGTGTTTTGTCTCCTGCTATTCTACAGGGGCACACATGAGATTGCAGCTACATGTATGTTATTGTTTTACTGCTTTCTTAATATTAATGATGACCAATTAAGGAAAACTTCTTTCTTGCAAATACATGTCAGCAGTATTACGATCATGGCAGATATGAATGAGGCTTATGAACAGTTTCTGTAAGATGCATCAACTTGAGTCTGTGGGTCGGAGAAAAAAAATTATTTTGTAGAATTACAAAAAAAATACTCAATAGAAGAAGAAATGACCAAATACCAATTCACATGTAGGGTACATGTACATTCATGAGATCTTACAGATATACATGTACAATTATTTTTGTGTTGGAAAAAGTTAGATGAAAATATAGAGGGAGGGGAGAGAGGGAGAGAGGGAGAGATAGAGAGAGGAGGGATAAGTATGGATTAGTGGGGGAAGAGAGAGGCAAAGAGAAATAAATAGAGAAATAAGAGAGAGGGAAAGAGTGTGTGAGAGAGAGAGAGAGAGAGAGAGAGAGTGTGTGTGTGTGTGTGTGTGTGTGTGTGTGTGAGAGAGAGAGAGAGAGAGAGAGAGTGTGTGTGTGAGAGAGAGAGAGAGAGAGAGAGTGTGTGTGTGTGTGTGTGTGGGAGAGAGAGAGAGAGAGAAACCCAAAGAGAAACATAGGGAGAGAGCTAGAAAGGCAGCTAGAGAGAAAGAGAGAGAGAGAGAGAGATGAAAACCAATGGAAGGAGACACAGAGATGAAGTGAAGAGATAGATGAAAAGAGCTTCTCCCTGAGTAGATGGCGTCTGCTCCTATTGATTCTCACTAACCCACCAAGGTATATGGATCAACTTTATTCAATTAATCCTTCTTACATTGTCATGTACATCAAGCGCTTTCAATAACAAATAGATTGAAGCAATTAAATCATTGTACTCCGTCTCATATTTAGAGAAGGAAATTAATTTTCTCCTACTGCATATATCTTCCTCTTTCTTTATCTCCTTTATAGATTTCCAATCCATGCTGTAGATGTTAGTAATGATGTAGGTCATGTCTCTTACTCAGATTAGTTTGCAGGCACAAAGCCCTGTCAGTTGTCAATATAGTGTCTGAACTAATAGACTAGCATGGTCTAGTGTATCCCATAGCTTCTGTACTTGAGTGGCTCTTGACATAGCTAGAGACTGACATAACTAGGCTCTGCTCAAGACTTCATGGAATTATGTTGAAGTATCAAATTAGAGCCTGTGCTTGCAGCCTACACTGGGATGTATGCAGAGTTACCAGATATCTTGTAATTCAATCATTTATCCCATATTTTGTGGCTGCGACTACATAGGTTTGGCTGGTTTCCAAAATAGATCTCACACTTTTGAATAATTTGTATTGCCTTTTACAAAGTAAGAAACACCAATGTCCTATTTTAACATTGCAAAATGATATCATTGCAAAATGATATCATTTTGAGAAGTAAGAGATACTTAGGGAGACATGATGGCTCAGTGGTAGAGCAGTGATCTCATAATCAGGAGGTCCTGGGTTCAAAAGGAAGTCAACGGACTGCCTTGCAACATGACATCCTTCAGTGAAGTATGCAATGGCTGATTGTAAAGTTGTATAATGATATAATTTACAGCCAATATAAAAGTAGTAAAATCTTTGTTGTTGTGCTGTACATGTAGGTGTACCTACATTTTAAAATATCCCCCCTTCACTTTCTCTTTGTCCCATTCCCTACATGCACCATGACACACAACATGATGTCTACATTAATGATTGATCCTTCATTCACACCCTCAGTTTGTGAGGATGGATATAGGATAGGATGAAAGAACTGTCTTGTTTTAGTATTAAGGATGCTCAGTGAATAGGGTTGACCCTCTGTTTAGCTTGGCTGTTCACAGAAGCAGCTGTTATTTTAAGAAACATCGCTTGGCCGGTAAAATTGAAAATGGTCTTCACGAACAAGCAAAGGAAACAGGAAACAACAACAAAATAATGTTATTCTTATATTACCACTATGAAAAAAAAACAGTTGGAGGGTTCGAGGGCTTCTATTAAAAATATTTTCATATCAAGTGTTCTGGATTCCAATAAATTGTAAATTGCTGTTATGTATAATTAATGCAATGAATATCTGGGAAACACAATGTAATCTGTTTCTAAGTGTACAATAAAATATGATCCTTGAGTTTTATAACAAGCTGAAATAAAGAACTAATTTTGAATTTCAAACTGTGAGCTCCACAAATGGAAACGTACCGATATGTTTGAGAAATACAAAACGTATAGACCCACCTCTGATGGCTCCCAAGGCTATTGGAAGAATTTGATTTTCAAGATTTGGTCTCAGACAAATCAACAAGGAAACATATTATGACACTTGAGTGTTCATTTATTTTGAATGCCATAAATAGCAATGTATGTTGACATGGAGCTTATTTCCTTATTTTGTTTGATGTATAGAACTAATGAGCTGCTGGTTGCATTTCTGACAAAGAACCGAGAGTTTAACTTCCTCAAATCTCATGGAAGAGATGATAGCAGGTAAGTTCCTACAAGTAGCTGTATGCATGACAGGGCCCGACACGTACATTGTCACAAGTTGTTTTGGGGATAACTACAAGTGAACATACAGATAGATTTTATATTCATTCAATGTCTGTGGACAAACTCTTGGTCAAGGTACATGTAGAGCCTACATTGAAGTTTGAAGTTTATTTATTCCACATTTTACATAAAAAAAAACAGTTTAATTTATTTTTTTATTTTTTTATATAGGCGTATATTATATAAGAGTAGATTTCACACAAGGAATTTTTTTTTTTTTTAAAGATTATTAGGCCTTAGGCTATGATAACTGTAGAACATAGGAAAATATCAAATGGGCCATTCCACTGTTCCAGAAATTACACTTCCAAGGCTAAAATGAGTATTCAAACCTGCCTCTATTGACTCAAATGGTAATGACCAATGTAGTCAGAAGCATATTAGAGACACATTTATATTTTTCTTGTTTTAAGAAGGTAACATAAATAGCTTAATGGAAACAATTTCTGAATCAATTTGTTTGAAAAGCTACTTTTGTTTTTCTTTGTGCAGTCGATTCATCAAGAAGCAGGGCTTAGACCGCTTATTCTATGAATGTGATAATCACATGTGGCGTCTTGGTGACAGAGAGCTTCCTCAAGGCATTCATATGGATGGAGGATCGGACTGGATTACTCTTAATTATGAGTTTGCAAAATACATCTCAGAAGGGGACGATAGTCTCCTCAAAGGACTCAAACAGTTCTACAAGTATACACTCCTACCAGCCGAGGTATGATGGATCATTATAAGGTTCTTATGGTAGTGCCTCACTGTTTGATGCACCAGTGAATCCATCATTGATTCATAAAAACAGTGATGAGATGAACAGGCTGTATCATGAATTTCCTTGATTTTAGATTTGGATGATTTGAATAATAATAATGATAATTATAATACTAATATAATATTGATAATAAATATAATAATAATGATACTAATGATATTGATTATAATGATGATGATGATGATGATGATGATGATGATGATGATGATATTTATGTATCATATTTTATATCATTATTACTATCATGATTATAGTCATTACTATTAATATTACTATTAAAATAATCAAAATCCAAAATCAACAGAATTCATTTCATAGCCCGTTCAACAATTAGTATTTGTAATTGTTATTATCAATATCATCTCAATGAATGAGCATGACCATTGAAATTAAAACAGTGTAAATGCTCCCTACTTACATTGAATAAAAGCTATTTTTCCTCTGTTTTATTTGTTTTTCTCCCTCTTTTATCTAATATTCTTCGTTTGGTTGTACCTTATGCCTTAGTCTAATATAAGATGTATTAAGAAAGTGCAACAAGCATTTGATTTGGCAAAATCTCTATTAGTACCAAACCATTTCGTAAAGAAGTTACATGTACTGTTGTTAGGGAATAATCTAGACTGCTTGATATGAAGTTTACTGTGGCTTAAAAAAAGAACTAGAAAGATTATGATTTTCTTGTAAGTCCTGGAATATTTCAAATGTTATTGGATTCAGTACATAATAGGCATACACAGTACTGCATCGGAATATTAATGGCATATATTTCCAATGAAGACATCCTGCATTTATGTATATCATAGTATATTCACCTCTGACACTTTTTAGATTTATGTGATATGTAAAATATCATGAATACTGACAGGAATAGCAATCATAAGGTTTGGATGTAATTGATTTACCAATATTTCATCAATATGGCATGAGCAATTCACTGTAGGAAATAAACCACAATCCTTTTTCAACAAAATGAAGACATAAAACCACTGTTATACTATCTTGCACTTTAAAGGTCATTTTCCTATGCATTATCTGTACCAGTAAAAAATAATTTCTGAATGGACAAGGAATACTGGTACTAAATTTTAATTTCAAATTCAAATTACTGTACCCATTATTGTTGTTTTGTTTTTCAGTCTTTTTTCCACACAGTGATTCAGAATAGTAGAATGTGTGATAGTCTAGTGGATAATAATCTGAGAGTTACAAACTGGAAGAGAAAGCTTGGTTGTCAATGTCAATACAAACACATTGTAGACTGGTGTGGCTGCTCTCCTAATGACTTCAAACCAGCAGATTTCTACAAAATCAAAGTAAGTTCATGCTTCTTAACCCTTTAACAACTAAACTGCCCAAAACCCACCCCTCCTTTTATTCACTGAACCGCCGAAACCGCTTGCCATTTTTGTCTGTTTATAACGCGCTGTAGTATCCGTTTTATGGGGTCTACCGTGATAATGTTATATGTGCGTAATCCTTACAATGTCTACAGTAGGATTTCTGCATGGGAAAAATAGCACATGTTTCATATTGTTCAGAACAATGTCAAAATGAGAGCAATATTGCAACATTTTCCAGTGAGTAATAGGCCATTTTTACAAAATGTCTAGTTGGTAATGGGTTAATATACTCCACACATATAGGATTCACTCTGTATTAAGGCAGGTAATGTTGGTGTCGTTGGATGACCAAAGAAACATGAAATACCACCATGTCTGATAACATGTGATTATTGTAAGACCATGTTGTGCAAGAACACTGTACAATTTGCAGTCCTTTTTATTTCCATCCTACCTGAAATATTGAAGAAATCAGGATGTCTATTAATGTACCTTTATTGTATACAAGTTGAAGTAGTTCCAATTTAGCTGCAACTTTCAAACTTTCAATTTTCTATTCAACTGTTATTATTCCATGTGGGTCTATAGCAGTTTTTATGCCTCCGTTACGAAGTAGCCGGAGGCATTATGTTTTCGGGTTGTCCGTCCGTACGTACGTACGTACGTACGTCTTTACGTACGGTACTACTCACGACAGTATGCTTGTGAGATTTTTGTCTTGTGTGTCTGAAAAAAAGGGGTATCTTGTGTGTCTTTTCATTTTTTCCTTCTAAAGACTACTTGTGTGTCTTAATTCCCAACTTCTTGTGTGTTTGTCTAAAATTAAATGAAAATGCATCTTGTGTGTTTTTTAATACAATATGTGTTGAGACTGGTTTTTAAAATTAAAATTAAGGCTTGTATGCCCAAAAGACATTATTGTCTACCTCTATCCAAGTCAGGAAAATTAAGGCTTGTGTCCCGCAAAAACACATCATTTACCCGCCTAAGTCGTGAAAATTGAGGCTTGTGTGGCAGAAAAGACGATCAGCTACCCTGTCCAAGACAAGAAAATTAAGGCTTGTGTGCCTAAAAAACTTGATGTCCAAAAAGTATACAACTATTTATTTGTGACTTTTGAATGACCAAAAAATTGATTTATCTTTTTTCCTCATTGAATAGAAACATCATCACACACATATAATACAGGTAATGCAATAATATTCCAATGCTGTGGAGGAACCAATGAAAAGCCAAGGAGCTTGTCATGGCAGAAAGATTATTTACCCCTGTCCAAGTCAAGAAAATTAAGGCTTGTGTGGCATAAAAAACATTACATGTATTATATACCTCTGTCCAAGTCATGAAAATTAAGGCTTGTGTGGCAGAAAGACATTACATGTATTATATACCCCTGTCCAAGTCAAGAAAATTAAGGCTTGTGTGGCAGTAAGACATTATTGTCTACCCCTGTCCAAGTCAAGAAAATTAAGGCTTGTGTGGCAAAAAAACATTACATGTATTATATACCTCTGTCCAAGTCATGAAAATTAAGGCTTGTGTGGCAGTAAGACATTATTGTCTACCCCTGTCCAAGTCAAGAAAAGTAAGGCTTGTGTGGCAGAAAAACATTACATGTATTATATACCTCTGTCCAAGTCATGAAAATTAAGACTTGTGTGGCAGTAAGACATTACATGTATTATATACCCCTGTCCAAGTCAAGAAAATTAAGGCTTGTGTGGCAGAAAGACATTACATGTATTATATACCCCTGTCCAAGTCATGGATATTAAGGCTTGTGTGGCAGTAAGACATTACATGTATTATATACCCCTGTCCAAGTCAAGAAAATTAAGGCTTGTGTGGCAGAAAAACATTACATGTATTATATACCTCTGTCCAAGTCATGAAAATTAAGGCTTGTGTGGCAATAAGACATTATTGTCTACCCCTGTCCAAGTCAAGAAAATTAGGGCTTGTGTGGCAGAAAGACATTACATGTATTATATACCTCTGTCCAAGTCATGGATATTAAGGCTTGTGTGGCAGTAAGACATTATTGTCTACCCCTTTCCAAGTCAAGAAAACGAGGGCTTGTATGGCAGAAAGACATTACATGTATTATATACCTCTGTCCAAGTAATGAAAATTAAGGCTTGTGTGGCAGAAAGACATTACATGTATTATATACCTCTGTCCAAGTCAAGAAAATTAAGGCTTCTGTGGAAAAAAAAAAATTACATGTCTGCATTTAAAGTGAATTTTGATGTGGAATTGGGAAATCTTAATGAATTTTGATATTTGGAATCTCAAAGTTTGTGAATTTCAAAGTTTAAATTCATCCAATGTACAGAAAGCCAGTACAGAAAGCCAGTTCTGTGGCATAAAAAAAACATTACATGTATTATATACCTCTGTCCAAGTTATGAAAATTAAGGCTTGTGTGGCAGAAAGACATTACATGTATTATATACCCCTGTCCAAGTCAAGAAAATTAAGGCTTGTGTGGCAGTAAGACATTATTGTCTACCCCTGTCCAAGTCAAGAAAATTAAGGCTTGTGTGGCAGAAAAACATTACATGTATTATATACCCCTGTCCAAGTCAAGAAAATTAAGGCTTGTGTGGCAGAAAGACATTACATGTATTATATACCTCTGTCCAAGTCATGAAAATTAAGGCTTGTGTGGCAGTAAGACATTATTGTCTACCCCTGTCCAAGTCAAGAAAATGAGGGCTTGTGTGGCAGAAAAACATTACATGTATTATATACCTCTGTCCAAGTCATGAAAATTAAGGCTTGTGTGGCAGAAAGACATTATTGTCTACCCCTGTCCAAGTCAAGAAAATGAGGGCTTGTGTGGCAGAAAGACATTACATGTATTATATACCCCTGTCCAAGTCAAGAAAATTAAGGCTTGTGTGGCAGAAAGACATTACATGTATTATATACCTCTGTCCAAGTCATGAAAATTAAGGCTTGTGTGGCAGAAAAACATTACATGTATTATATACCTCTGTCCAAGTCATGAAAATTAAGGCTTGTGTGGCAGTAAGACTTTACAGCACTGGCTTTCTGTACATTGGATGAATTTAAACTTTGAAATTCACAAACTTTGAGATTCCAAATATCAAAATTCATTAAGATTTCCCAATTCCACTTCAAAATTCACTTTAAATGCAGATATCCATTAAAATTCTCAAAATCACTTTGCCGATGGATTTTCAAAGAGGAGTATTGACAAAAAGAATATGTCACGTAACTATGAAGAATTTTTATTTCTTCAGAGGCAAAGTTGAGTATTTCATTATTTGCTAATGGAATACGTTTTACACATATCTGGAACTTTAAAGGTACTATGTCCATTTGCAGGCCCCAAAAAATGAAAAGGTTAAATTCCAACAGCATTTGAAAGACAATATTAATTTAGAACTTTCCGAAAAAAAAGGGGGCTTGAAAATGTCTTTAAGTGGGAAAATAACGACTATTAGTAGTTTAATCAACTAAAAGATGAAGTTGAGTTCTGGTTTTGCGATTGCATTGTGAAAGAAACGGTGTGGAATCGACCAGAAAAGGTTGATCATCTAGCATATAAGAATTTGAGTGTATTGCAAGGTTCTGGAATCATCAAAATGATAAGAAATTTGGCCAAGTCTTGGTAAAGTTACAAACACTGTACACAGAAAGATGTATATGGGACTACACAACCACGTGGCGTAAAAAGGCTATTCCCCCGAGTTTTACGATGTTACATGACATATTTAGAATATGAAGGCATTTGAAGAGCCATGCTTTTTAAGGGAACATGTCTTATCTGATGTTCTTCCACACTTGCATAATAGGAATGATAACGCTCACAAATTATTTTTCACCTCTTCCCAGAACTCAACCTTCTCTTTAAGAGCTATAGAGCCAGTAATTAATAATCTGATTTCAGACCACTGTTCTGCAGGGTCAATGTGGCTATTCATAAGGACCGCCATTCATAAGGTTTGCTATTCATAAGGTCCGCTATTCATAAGGACCGCTATTCATAAGGTCCGCTTTTCATAATTGGAGAAAAGGGTCATTATTCATAAGGGTCATTATTCATAAGGACCGCTATTCATAATGAAAGAAGAGGGTCGGTATTCATAATATTAGAAGAGGGTCGCTATTCATAATACAAAATCGGGTTCGTTATTCATGAGGGTCCCTATTCATAATATTACAAAAGGGTCGGTATTCATAACACAGAAAGAGGGTCGCTATTTATAATACGAAATGAGGGTCGCTATTCATAATACGAAATGAGGGTCGCTATTCATAATGCAAAATGAGGGTTGCTATTCATAAGGGTCATTATTCATAATCGATGAAGAGGGTCGCTATTTATAATAGGAGTAGAGGGTCGCTATTCATAATAGAAGAAGAGGGTCGCTATTCATAATAGAAGAAGAGGGTCGCTATTCATAATAGGAGTAGAGGGTCGCTATTCATAATAGAAGAAGAGGGTCGCTATTCATAATAGAAGATGAGGGTCGCTTTTCATAATAGGAGTAGAGGGTCGCTTTTCATAATAGGAGTGGAGGGTCGCTATTCATAATAGAAGTAGAGGGTCGCTATTCATAATAGAAGAAGAGGGTCGATATTCCGGAGTAGAGGGTCGCTATTCATAATAGAAGAAGAGGGTCGATATTCATAATAGGAGTAGAGGATCGCTATTCATAATAGGAGTAGAGGGTCGCTATTCATAATAGGAGTAGAGGGTCGCTTTTCATAATAGGAGTAGAGGGTTCGCTATTCATAATAGGAGTAGAGGGTCGCTATTCATAATAGGAGTAGAGGGTCGCTATTCATAATAGAAGTAGAGGGTCGCTTTTCATAATAGAAGAAGAGGGTTGCTATTCATAATAGAAGTAGAGGGTCGCTATTCATAATACTAAATGAGGGTCGCTATTCATAAAACAAAATGAGGGTCGCCGTTCATAAAACGAGAAGAGGGTCGCTAT